TGTCGAATCTCCTGAAGGGGGTTAATATCAGGTAGTTATAGATTGGGTGTGTAGAAAATAGTAAATACTAGGGTGTTGGGTGTGATAGAGGGCAGGGATTAAATGTTGGGGAATTCAAAATTGAACGAAATGGGAGTTTGAGCCACAGTTACTAGTATTTGTTGATGATACTGTATTTATGGGTGATTCTAAAAGATAAAGTGGCAAAAGGTTAGTGGACGAGGTTTGGGAGGGTTGTATAAAGGAGGAAAGTGAAGTGAAACATAGAGGAAGAGTTAAGGTGATAAGGGTATCAAATGATTTAGATAAAGAAAAACTGGATATCACAGTGGAGAGAAGGAGTATGCAAGAAGTGAATATTTTCAGATATTTTTTGAGTTGATGTGTCAGCGAATGGGTTTATGAAGGATGAAGTTCACCATAAATTGATCAGGGAAAAAGGTGAGTGGTGTGTTGAGAGTATATGTGGAGACAAAAAAGTTATTCATGGCAGGGCAAAGAGAAGGTAATGTAATGAAAAGTATAGTGGTCGACACTCTTATATAGGTGGTTGAAGGTTGGGTTGTAAATGCTGCAGCGAGGAGGCAGTTGGAGGCAGTGGAGATGTCCTGTCTAAAGGCAATGTGTGGCTTAAATATTATGCCGAGAATTCGAAGTGTGGGAAATTTAGGAGGAGGAGTGGAGTGGAAGTTAATAAAAGGTATTAGTCAGAGTGGCTGAAGAGGGGGTTGTTTGAGAGTGGTTTGGTCATTTGAGAATGGAGTCAAAGTAGAAATGACATGGAGAGCATATAAATCTGTGGGGAAGGAAGGCGGGTCAGGGGTTGTACTCGAAAAGGTTGGGGGAAAGGCGTAAAGAGGTTTTATTGGATAAGGGTTTGGGACTTCCAGCAAGCATGCATGAGGGCCATGTTAGCTAGGAGTGAATGGCTTTGGACCTGACAGCCTGTTGGGAGGTGTGAGCAAGGTAATATTTACGTGTAGGATTCAGGGAAACGGTTTTTTTCTTATAGTCGGACCTTGAGTCTGGAAATGGGAAGTACAATGCCTGCACACTTTAAAGGAGGGTTTGGGATATTGGCAGTTTGGAGGATTATGTTGTGTATCTTGTATACGTGTATAGGTTCTAAAACTGTGGTATTCTGAGCACCGCTGCAAAAGCAGTGATTAATGTGTGAGTGTGGTGAAAGTCGTTGAATGATGATGAAAGTATTTTCTTTTTGGGGATTTTCTTTCTTTTTTGGAGTCCCCTGCCTCGGTGGGAGAAGGGACCAACTTGTTGAAAAAAAAAAAAAAGAAAAATTCAGGGAAACTGGTTATTTTTATAATAGGCCAGACCCGAGTTACTGGAAATGGGATAGTGCAAATGCCTGCACATGTTAAAGGAAGGGTTTGGGATATGGCAGTTTGGAGGGGACAACTAAAACTGTCATACCTGAGCGCCTCGCAAAGACAGTGGATTATGTTACTGACGTGACGGTTTTTAAAAGTGCTGAATATTGATGAAAGTATTTTCTTTCTTTCTTGTTTTGGTCACCCTGCTTCGGGGGGAAGCGGGGGCCCCTCGATGTGTTAAAAAAAAAAAAATAATAGTTGCTTATGACCCCACCCAAGAAGTTCAAACAAAATGTGTTTTAATTTCGTATTTCATTAAATAATGAAGTTTTTGGACACTAAACATTGTGATGTCATTCTGTTCATCTAGGGAATGGGTTATGTACCTCCAAATATTAAATGAATTTGTTACTAAATGAAACTTGCTCTCGCAATAAGGCAGGGGGGAAGACTAGTTTTTGATGCTAGTTGTTTGACACAGTATACTGCCTATTTCCAGAGAAAATGACATTGACATTCCATCCAGAAGAAAATAGAGATAGATTTAAAACACCATCAGTGACTTATAAAATATATTACACATTCTTTTCTTCAGCTGCAGGCACGGGTACTTTCTTCACGTCCACTCCAGGACTCAGATCAGTCTAGCTCTGAACGTTTCCTCTGAATCAATCATTCAAAGTGTTTCCTCTTTACACCACCCAACCAGTTCATCAAAGTCCTAAAAACTCCATTTGCCTCCACTCATTAATAACAACACACACACAACACACACCTGGATGTCCAAGCCCCTTGGCTCACAAACTCTCCTGTTACCCTACCCTTCTCTCAACCTCTTGTTTTTTACTTTTTTTTTTAGGGCAACCCCAACCTTGCCTTCCTCCACTTAGATTCATTACACCTTTCAAGTCATCCTATTTTCTCTCAAATCCTCTCTAAATGTCCAAGCACCTCAACACTCAACCCCGCCATCTCAGCTCTGATATCTTTTAATAAACTCCCGCTCTCCCCTTCCCCGTACTCTCCAAGCTCCTCGAATTCCCTGATAATATTTACACCACACACTAACTGCCTCCTCTCTCATACAGACTGCCTCATGTACCACCCCACGTTTTTCCTTTCAACAATTCTATGGTCTCACCTTATTTTTATTTTTTTTTTTTTTTTTCTATTATACACCGGCCTATTCCCACCGAAGGCTAGGGTGGCCCGAAAAAGAAAAAACTTTCACCATCATTCACATCCACTCACTGGCTTGCCAGAAGGGTGCGCTTTACACTACAGTTTTAAACTGCAACATTAAAACCCCTCCTTCAGAGTGCAGGCTCTGTACTTCCCATCTCCAGGACTCAAGTTCCGGCCTGCCGGTTTCCCTGAATCCCTTCATAAATGTTACTTTGCTCACACTCCAACAGCACGTCAAGTATTAAAAACCATTTGTCTCCATTCACTCCTATCAAACACGCTCACGCATTGCCTGCTGGAAGTCCAAGCCCCTCGCACACAAAACCTCCTTTACCCCCTCCCTCCCAACCCTTCCTAGGCCGACCCTACCCGCCTTCCTTCCATACAGACTGATACACTCTTGAAGTCATTCTGTTTCGCTCCATTCTCTCTACATGTCCGAACCACCTCAACAACCCTTCCTCAGCCCTCTGGACAACAGTTTTTGGTAATCCCGCCCTCCTCCTAACTTCCAAACTACGAATTCTCTGCATTATATTCACACCACACATTGCCCTCAGACATGACATCTCCACTGCCTCCAGCCTTCTCCTCGCTGCAACATTCATCACCCACGCTTCACACCCATATAAGAGCGTTGGTAAAACTATACTCTCATACATTCCCTCTTTGCCTCCAAGGACAAAGTTCTTTGTCTCCACAGACTCCTAAGTGCAACCACTCACTCTTTTTCCCTCATCAATTCTATGATTCACCTCATCTTTCATAGACCCATCCGCTGACACGTCCACTCCCAAATATCTGAATACGTTCACCTCCTCCATACTCTCTCCCTCCAATCTGATATTCAATCTTTCATCACCTAATCTTTTTGTTATCCTCATAACCTTACTCTTTCCTGTATTCACCTTTAATTTTCTTCTTTTGCACACCCTACCAAATTCATCCACCAATCTCTGCAACTTCTCTTCAGAATCTCCCAAGAGCACAGTGTCATCAGCAAAGAGCAGCTGTGACAACTCCCACTTTGTGTGTGATTCTTTATCTTTTAACTCCACGCCTCTTGCCAAGACCCTCGCATTTACTTCTCTTACAACCCATCTATAAATATATTAAACAACCACGGTGACATCACACATCCTTGTCTAAGGCCTACTTTTACTGGGAAAAAATTTCCCTCTTTCCTACATACTCTAACTTGAGCCTCACTATCCTCGTAAAAACTCTTCACTGCTTTCAGTAACCTACCTCCTACACCATACACTTGCAACATCTGCCACATTGCCCCCCTATCCACCCTGTCATCACGCCTTTTCCAAATCCATAAATGCCACAAAGACCTCTTTAGCCTTATCTAAATACTGTTCACTTATATGTTTCACTGTAAACACCTGGTCCACACACCCCCTACCTTTCCTAAAGCCTCCTTGTTCATCTGCTATCCTATTCTCCGTCTTACTCTTAATTCTTTCAATTATAACTCTACCATACACTTTACCAGGTACACTCAACAGACTTATCCCCCTATAATTTTTGCACTCTCTTTTATCCCCTTTGCCTTTATACAAAGGAACTATGCATGCTCTCTGCCAATCCTTATCTTTCATATACCCTTCCACCAACAAGTCCACTCCCAAATTTCTGAAGACAATCACTTCCTCCATATTCCCTCCTCACAATCTGATATTCAATCTTTCATTACTCAACTTATTTCTTACCTTCATCATCTTGCTCTTTCCTACATTCACTTTTAATTTCCTTCTTATAAATACCCTCTCAAATTCATCCACCAGATGAATTTTACCTTAGTCTTTGTTTTGCTAGTAGATGTGGAAATATTTTGAGATGGTTATGCAAGTCAAATGAGAAGTAGATAGCAATTGTCATCTGTTTTATTAGCGGACACCACTCGTGTATCTGCCATATGGCTTTATTTATAATAGTAACAGGGAAGAATTTTGTCCTACCTTAAATTCCTTGTTCTCTTGCTTGTTGATAAAGAAGTATATAGAAATGGCTGTGATTAATGACCAGTAGACAGTTATGAGACCTCTGTTTTATCATCCAACTACTGTGGATGGGCATCTATTGAGGTAAACAGAGCCACTGCAGCATATACCTCGTTGAACCAGAATCATCAACTGGATTTTCCCAAGTTATACAAAACTCTGAATAGAAAAGTTTTCATGCTTGAGCATGATATTCAAGTTTTACAGGGTTTGGGTCACTTTGCCTCGGCAAAGTGACCCAAACAAGAAAACAGATTACCCCTCTGACTGCAACACCCCAACCCCTTCTTCAGAGAAAAGGCACTGCCTTTTCCATCTACAGGTTTCAAGTCCGGCTTCACATAAATGCATTATAATAAAGCATTCTGGACTGCGTTAACTCTGAGGACTATGTGGTTAGCACTTAGTCTCTAAACACTATGTAGTCTTATCTATACTGAATTTGTTGGTTGTAATCCATATGCATACTTACTTTCACTTGAGTTGCCTGATCCATAAGAGGAGAATTCACAAGCTTTTTTCTGAGTTTTGCATCTGTTATCATTGTTATGTACAAAAGCAATAGAGTCAGCTTTGTCAGCTCCACTTGACTTCCTGCAGCAACATCCTCAAAGCAAATAAGCTTTGGACCAGCAAAGTGCTCTGCAATAATAATAAAAACAGTCAAATCTTTATTGTAGGCAAATGACCATATGTTATACAAAGCTATACATTAGGGTAGTCTACTAATAATAAAAATGGATTTCTGAATTTCTCATTTCAACCCTTCATTGAGTTTCTGTTGTGCTAAGAAATTATTTCCTAGATATAAAGTTTTATGACGATTGGATTTCATTTAGAGGTGCCCCACAACACCAAATTTTCACTGCTATAAATTGGGAAATACCATTAATATTATTAATACTAAAAATTTTTTTAAGTACAAGCCATCTCCCACTGAGGTAGAGTGACCTGAAAAAGAAATGTTTTCACCATCACTCACTCCTGTAGCTCAAATGTTAGCGAACTCAGCACACAATGAGGTCCAGGGGTTGATCCCTAGTACAGGTGGAAACATTAGGACATGTTTCCTTAAGACAGCTGCTGTCCATGTTCACCTATCAGTAAAATAGATACAGTAGGACCCCACTTATATGGCAGGATAGGTTCCAGGCTACCACCGTGAAGCAGAAATCGCTGTACAGTGGAACGCCCTTTTTTTCCACTTATAAATGTATATAAATACAAGATAACAAGTTTACACTAACATATATTAAGTTAGCAATAGAACTAGGCATTAAAAACAATAAAAAAGTAAAATAAACATATAGTACACTCATTACTTACTTTAAAATATTTGTAGTCTTAATCTAGGGTGAGATGAGTAGTATTTATTGTAAGAAATCAAGTGTGGTATGTATGGTAGCCAGCCAGGCCAACCCACCCACACATAATATTCTATGATATTTAAGCATCCTAGAGTGATAAAATGCATATACAGTTCACTCATTACTAACTTAAAATATTTGTAGTCTTAGTCTAGGGTCTGGGGAGAATAAACGAGATAAAACAAATAAATGAGAGAGAGAGAGAGAATGAGTATATGAGAGAGGACACTCATGGAGTTATGTAAACAAACAAAGTCTACACATCTGGTTTGTGTACAAGTTACACTGTGTACTAGTTGTCTCTACGTTGATTTTTTTTTTTTATCACACTGGCCGATTCCCACCAAGGCAGGGTGGCCCGAAAAAGAAAAACTTTCACCATCATTCACTCCATCACTGTCTTGCCAGAAGGGTGCTTTACACTACAGTTTTTAAACTGCAACATTAACACCCCTCCTTCAGAGTGCAGGCACTGTACTTCCCATCTCCAGGACTCAAGTCCGGCCTGCCGGTTTCCCTGAATCCCTTCATAAATGTTACTTTGCTCACACTCCAACAGCACGTCAAGTATTAAAAAACATTTGTCTCCATTCATTTCCTATCAAACACGCTCACACATGCCTGCTGGAAGTCCAAGCCCCTCGCACACAAAACCCCCTTTTTACCCCCTCCCTCAACCTTTCCTAGGCCGACCCCTACCCCGCCTTCCTTCCACTAGACTGATACATTCTTAAAGGGTCATTCTGTTTCGCTCCATTCTCTCTACATGTCCGAACCACCTCAACAATCCTTCCTCAGCCCTCTGGGAAAAACAGTTTGGTAATCCGCACCCCCCTCCTAACTTCCAAACTACGAATTCTCTCATTATATTCACACCACACATTGCCTCAGACATGACATCTCCATGCCTCCAGCCTTCTCCTCGCTGCAAATTCATCACCCACGCTTCACACCCATATAAGAGCGTTGGTAAAACTATACTCTCATCATTCCCCTCTTTGCCTCCAAGGACAAAGTTCTTTGTCTCCAAAGACTCCTAAGTGCACCCTCACTCTTTTTTCCCTCATCAATTCTATGATTTACCTCATCTTTCATAGACCCATCTGCTGACACGTCCACTCCCAAATATCTGAATACGTTCACCTCCTCCATACTCTCTCCCTCCAATCTGATATTCAATCTTTTTATCACCTAATCTTTTTGTTATCCTCATAACCTTACTCGTTCCTGTATTCACCTTTAATTTTCCTTTTGCACCCCTACCAAATTCATCCACCAAATCTCTGCAACTTCTCTTCAGAATCTCCCAAGAGCACAGTGTCATCAGCAAAGAGAGCTGTGACAACTCCCACTTTGGTGTGATTCTTTATCTTTTAACTCCACGCCTCTTGCCCAAAACCCTCGCATTTACTTCTCTTACAACCCCATCTATAAATATATTAAACAACCACGGTGACATCACACATCCTTGTCTAAGGCCTACTTTACTGGGAAAAAATTTCCCCCTTTCTACATACTCTAACTTAGCCTCACTATCCTCGTTTAAAAACTCTTCACTGCTTTCAGTAACCTACCTCCTACACCATACACTTGCAACATCTGCCACATTGCCCCCTATCCACCCTGTCATACGCCTTTTCCAAATCCATAAATGCCACAAAGACCTCTTTAGCCTTATCTAAATACTGTTCACTTTTTAAAAATGTTTCACTGTAAACACCCGGTCCACACACCCCCTACCTTTCCTAAATCCTCCTTGTTCATCTGCTATCCCCATTTTCGTCTTACTCTTAATTCTTTCAATTATAACTCTACCATACACTTTACCAGGTATACTCAACAGACTTATCCCCCCATAATTTTTGCACTCTCTTTTATCCCCTTTGCCTTTTATACAAGGAAATATGCATGCTCTCTGCCAATCCCTAGGTACCTTACCCTCTTCCATACATTTATTAAAAATAAATTTCACCAACCACCAAAACTATATCCCCACCTGCTTTTAAAAATTTCTATCTTTATCCCATCAATCCAGCTGCCTTACCCCCTTTCATTTTACCTACTGCCTCACGAACTTCCCCCACACTCACAACTGGGTCTTCCTCACTCCTACAAGATGTTATTCCTCCTTGCCCTATACATGAAATCACAGCTTCCTATCTTCATCAACATTTAACAATTCCTCAAAATATTCCCCCCCATCTTCCCAATACCTCTAACTCTCCATTTAATAAACTCTCCTCTCCTTTTTTAAACTAACAAATCCATTTGTTCTCTAGGCTTTCTTAACTTGTTAATCTCACTCCAAAACTTTTTCTTATTTTCAACAAAATTTGTTGATAACATCTCACCCACTCTCTCATTTGCTCTCTTTTTACATTGCTTCACCACTCTCTTAACCTCTCTCTTTTTCTCCATATACTCTTCCCTCCTTGCATCACTTCTACTTTGTAAAAACTTCTCATATGCTAACTTTTTCTCCCTTACTACTCTACGTATCTACGTTGATACGGTAGAATAAATAAAGAGGAACACTCCCATTCTCGTGTAACACCATTTTTAGAACACATATGCTGCTATGTATGATAATCTATGTAACTATATTTGTGTATACCTGAATAAACTTACTTACTTACTTACATACGAAGGGAAGAATTTTTTAGTTACCCCCAGTAACACATTTTCTCTTATGTTAGACTAGAGAAAATGTTATTCTACTGTGGGGTGTATTTCTCATCTTTATATGTTATGTATCATGTTTATTGTATAATTTTGAAGAAATATCATAGATGGATTAATGAAAATATGTACAGTGGACCCCCAGTTATTGGCCAGTTTGGTTATCGGATAACTCGGTTATTGGCCGTTTTTTCGGCGCCCGGTTATCGGCCGTTTGCTCGGTTATCGGCCATTTGGGACACGTCCATCTGCCGGCTGGGGCTGCTTGTGCATCAGTTTGGCTTTGTCTCTTGGTGGCTGAGGAAGCTTCTGCTTATACATCCAAACATTTTCCTTATTTCCCATTGTAGTTTGTGTTATTTTTGCAAAACAACTGTGAAATATGGAACCATGGCTCCAAAGAAAGTGAGAAACACCATGGAATTTAAGCGTGAAGTGATACAAAAGTTTGAAAGTGGTATGAAGGTGGTGGAACTTCCAGGATGTACAGCATGAATAAATCAACAATTACATCCATCATGGCAAAGAAAGAACAAATCAAAGATGCTAATGTTGCAAAAGGAGTAACTTGTCTAACTAAACAAAGGCTACCAATAATGGAAGAGATGGAAAAGTTATTATTATTGTGGATTAAGGAAAAAGAATTAGTGGGAGACAGTGTTAAGGAGTCTATTATTTGTGAAAAGGCAAGGCAGTTGCATGAGGATCTTGCAAAGAAAATGCCTGGAACAAGTGCTGCAGTTCGTGAATTTAGGGCCAGCAAAGGATGGTTTGATAGATTTAAGAAGCGTATTGGCATACAGTGTTGTAAGGCATGGTGAGGCTGCAAGTTCTGACAAATGTGTGGCTGAAAAGTATGTTCATGAATTCCAGGACTATGTAAAGGCTGAAGGTTTCGAAAGCCAACAAGTGTTCAATTGTGATGAAACAGGCCTGTTTTGGAAGAAAATGCCAAACAGGACCTACATTACTCAGGAGGAAAAGGCGCTGCCAGGACACAAGCCTATGAAAGACAGGCTTACTCTTTCGTTGTGTGGTAATGCTAGTGGGGATTTCAAAGTGAAGCCTTCACTCATGTATCACTCAGAAAATCCCAGTGTGTTCAAGAAAAACAATGTCATGAAGAATAGATTGTGTGTGATGTGGAAAGTTAATCATAAGGCATGGGTCACAAGGCAAATTTTCAAAGAGTGGGTTAAAGATGTGTTTGGCCCAAGTGTGAAAAAAATACCTCCTGGAAAAGAAATTGCCACTCAAGTGCCTCCTGTTACTGGACAATGCTCCTGCACATCCTCCAGACTTGCAAGACCAAGTGTTAAGGGACTTCAATTTCATCACAGTGAAGTTCTTGCCTCCTAACACCACTCCTCTCCTCCAGCCCATGGACCAGCAGGTCATTTCTAACTTCAAAAAACTCTACACAAAAGCAGTGTTTCAAAAGTGCTTTGAAGTGGCATCAGACACTCAGTTGACCCTAAGACAGTTCTGGAGGAATCACTTCACTATCCTTATAGGTAAGGCTTGGGATGGAGTGACTTGCAGGACTTTGAACTCTGCTTGGAGAAAACTGTGACCAGATTGTTTCCAAAAAAGGAA